CCTCAGGAGTCCTCCCAGCCTGGGAGGCAGTGGAGACTGAGCCTGTGAGTGGCCCCCGCCCTTCCACAGGAAGCTGGGACCAGGCAGTCTCTGGCCTCATGCAGACATCACAATAGTGGTCAGTCACCCAGCCGGCAGCCGGGAGGCCGTTGCTTCTCTCCTGCTTGTCTCTGGCCACCAGGCCCCACCATGAGGACTGCTCAGGATGAGGACCAGGAGAATGAGGACACGGAACCCCAGGTCACCAGGACACCACTGCTGAAACAGAGGAACAAGGAGGAGCCAAAATGGAGCCAACCTCAGGGTGAGGGGCGGGGGCTGGGAGTGGCCAGGGACAGGGGGATGCAGGGGCCCAGGGGAAGCAGGAGGCGGGATGGGGCCACCTGGCCCAGCCAGGGCTGATCCCCGGGATCCCCACCCCCCAAGTCCCACCGCCCCACCACCCAGGTGACCCACAGGGACACGGGCAGCAAGGCCTCCTGCAGCACACACTCTCTTTGAGCCCACAAGGACAGGAGGCTGCGGACACCACACAGGGCCAGGCCACTGCCCGGCCTGGGGGACACGGCCCTGGAGAGCCCCCAGTCACCTCTCACTGTTGATGCTGGTGGCGCAGGCAGGGGTGGGCAGGACCACAGGGCACTGATGGGCAGCGCTTCACAGCTGGGAGAGACTCCTGCAGGGAGGCCAGGGCTTCTTTCTGACCCCCCTTTGTCTGTGAGAGGGATGGAAACCTACGGGCAGGGATGCGGGCACCTCTCCCTGTCCTGGGAGTGGAGCCACTGGGCAGGACGGGGAGCGGCTTGCGCCTGCCCCCACCCCAGCAAGCTCTGGTGGGAGGCCCAGGAGCCCCCTCCAGCCTCCAGGCTCCAGCCTCCCTTCCTGGGAGGGGTGGGAAGAGCCCCTGGTGGAGAGAAAGGCCGGGTCCCTGTGCAGGACAAGCCACGGGGCTGTCCCTGGAGACACGGGGACCCTCTGCCCACACACGCCCCGGGGGCTCCCTCTGCTGCCCACCCCTCGGGTCCCAGGCTCCGGACTCCCTTGTCCAAAGAGCAGGAGCTGCTTCCTGAGCCTGTGGGGCAAGGTGGGGCTGGGAGGAGGGGCTGGCCCATGAGCAGGTGGGGACCTGGGGCTCAGGGAGCAAGTCTGGAAGAGTGGAGGGCAGCACCCATGAAGGCCTCCTCCTGAGCAGTTGGGCACAGCCCATTGGGAGCCATTCTGACAGAGGCAAGGGGCACAATGGCAGCGTGGACTCCGGACTCGGGCCTTTCAGCTCCATCCTGGGCTGACACACTTATTTACTGGGACCTTGGGAAAGCCACCTGCTCTCTGAGCCTAGTCTCACATCTGCTGCTGGAATAGGGGCGCACCCTGCTGCACGGGCAGGAGGACTGTAGGAAGTGTGTTAAGCACCCAGCTCCCAGCGCGGCTGGCGATGGACGGCCCCAGCTCCTGTGTCCTGGGCCACCTGGAGCTGCTCCCAGGAAGAGCTTGTATCCCAGGACACGAGGGCACAGTGCAGTCAGACGTGCCCAGGTTCAGCTCCAGCTCCTCCACCGACGGCCACACAGCCATCGAAGCTGACGCATCCTTCCAGGCCCCATCTGCCCTCTGGGGTGGGCACCTGCCCGTGGGCACTCAGTCCTGGCAGCTGAGGGCACTCTTCCCTCCTCTCTCCTCAAGGGCCACCGCCACCATACAACCCTCCTGCAGGAGGCTCCCGCCCTCAGCAGCCCACAGGTGAGTGCAAAGTGCCCACCACCTCTCCCCTCGCACACACTTCCTGCTCAGATTGCCACAGGCCCCTGGCCTGACCATGGGCCCAAAATGCCCGCTGGAAAGCCCTCCGCCTGGCCTCATGGCTCCGTGGCCCTGCAGCTGGTTAGGGCCTCTCTGTGGCTCCCACAGGCTGTTGCAACGTCAGTGGCCTTGAGCATCACTCTGACCAATGTGTGGCCACTAGTGGACACCCTGGCATATAGTAGGTGCTCAGGAGATGCTTGTAAACTCCCTGCAAGCACATCACCTCCACCCTGGATCCCAGAGACGGAGAACACAGACCCCCAGGAGGGGCCTAGGTTTGGGGATTCTACATATTTTCCAAGGAATTCTCAAGCACTCCAAAGAACGGTCAGGGTGGACTGAGGGTCAGCTTCACGTTGCCGCAGCTAATGCACAGAGAAAGGTTTGTCTGGCTCCCAGGCCTGGGGGTTCCAGTCCATGGCTGGCCAGTCCCACTGCTCTGCGCCTCTGCAGAAACCAGATGCCCTTGACAGGGAGGCAATGTCAGAGCCAACGTTTCCATCACGATCTGGGCAGCAGAGAAAGACCGGGGTCCTACAGTGTCCTCAGATCCAGTCAAGGTCCACACACCTCCCAATAGCGCCACCCTGGGCACCAAGCCTTGAACACACGGACCTTTGGGAGACACTCACACAGACCATAGTGGACAGTAAATTCCCACAGGTAGCCTCAGGGTGACACAGTGACAATGACCTCTCTCTTGGAGAGCGCCAGACAACCCTGAAGGCCCCATCCTAGCTTCCTGCCAAGTGCGGGGCATGTCACCCTCCCCTGCCTCGGAGCTCACCCTGGCGCAGCCCCGTCCCTCTCCAGGCAGGGGGTGCAGAGGGACCTGGCTCTGCTCCAGGACACTGTGGAGCGCCACCAGCGTCTTGTTCTTGCTCTGGGGCTTATTTTGAGGCGCTGTGGTTTGCCCCGGGTCCCGTGCATGCGGGGCGAAGGCTCCCTCTGAGCTGCGCCCGAGCCTCAGCAGCGTGCTCTTGACAAATCCAGCCACCAAGGGACACTGGGAGGCCACTGTCCCAGGCCGCTAGGCGCACCAGTGGGCCAACGTCCAGGTGCAAGTCCAGGGGGAGGCTGGCTGTTCTTCCCACCACAGGCTTGGGGACAGACTCCGGCTACCCCGCAGGTTGAGAAAGGGGGCTGACCGCGAGCGGGGGTTGAGCTGGGCACCTCGCTGGACAGAAGGGACCTGGGTTAGACCCAGAGGTGCTCCAAACCCCCTGGGCCCTGACTTCACCTGCTCACCAGGGGTCATGACTGGGGGGAAGGAGCCCTGAGGCTGATGGGCAGGTGGATAACGGGTGGCACGAGCCTAGCCAGGTGGTCTTGGGTGCTTAGATGACCACCAGGGACAACCAAAAGACAAGCAGTCACAGCGGGGGTGGGGTGTCCAGCCCGGTTGGGCCCAAGGGTGGGGTGAGGCGGTGCAGGTCTGACCTGCCTCTCGCCCACCCAGGCATGTACACCAACCTGCCCAGGATCTCCACCTCCTTGCCAATGCGCACCGTATGTCCCTACTGTGGCCACCTAGTCGTCACAGAGACCACCCCTGTCCCAGGAATCCTCACCTGGCTGCTGTGCTTAGGCCTCTGTTTCTGTGGGTGAGTGACTGGCCCTGGGCTCCAAAAGGCCCTGCCCCCGCTTGCAGGGGGGTTCCTGCTGGGAGAAATGGCTGGCATCTAGCAGCCAGGTGGGCAGCAGGGGAGTTTGTGGAGGACAGGCAGGAGCAAGGACAAGGACGTCCCCATGTCCACCACTGCCACACTCAGAGGCGGCAATGCCCTCTGACTGGGAGTCACGCCTGCCATGTGAGGGTTCCCAGCAGTGCCTGTCACCTCCATGGGGAATCCCTGCCCTGTGGAGGTGCCCAGCAGCTCATAGGAGGCCGGCCGACCAAGGGCAGTGAGGGCCAGGGCCAGGGTGGTGCACTTACGGCCATGCCCTGCGGCTGCAGGTGCTGCCTGGGCTGCTGCCTCGTGCCCTTCTGGATTCGAAGCTTGAAGGACGTGAACCACTCTTGCCCTGTGTGCAAGCACCATCTCTACCACTACAGACGCGTGTGACCCCTGCCCTGGAAATAAACCTGCTGACGCTCTTGCACGTGTGTCCTGCGCCCGGCCATGCCATGGCCTCCTCTGACTCCAGTCACAGGGAGGTGGCCCACAGGAGCCTGGAGCACAGCAGACGCGCAGGCCACGATGGCTGGATGCGGGAAGGGTCCTGTCCCTGAGATGCCCAGCGCAGACTCCAGCCTGCTGTCCACCAGGAGGCCCGTCCTTTGCCCTCGCCCACCCGCACCCAGGCTCTCAGCTGGCCCTGCTGGTGGTCTAGCACTTGGTACCAAGTGCAACCCCAGTGGGCATCTCCCTGAGCCGCCCTTCCCTGGCCTGCACTGTCCTCCTGGGGTCCCACCCTGGGCCTCCTCTCCCACCCACTCTGCACCCTGCAGCCTCTCTCCTGGGTGCCTCACAGAGCTCCCTCTCCCTTCCTGGGGGCAGGGTGGCTGCAGAGGGCACCACCTCTCCTTACCCCAGACCCCTGCCCTGTCCCTGCTGCCCTGCAGGGACCTGCAATGGCCCTGCTCAAGTCAGCCCTGCCCTCCTCACCACTGGGGGCTGCGACTGGTTTGGGCAAGGGTCAGTCACCTCAGCTTGGACTGTGCCCGACACATGCCCAGACCCTGCCACCCTCAGACCAAGATTGTTTTTTATTTTGGTTTTTGTTACCAGGGATCGAACCCAAGGGCACTTAACCACGGAGCCGGGTACCACCTTTTTAAAAGGGTATTTATTTTTCAGTTGTAATTGGACAAAATACCTTTGTTATTTATTTATTGTTCCGTGATGCTGAGGACCAGACCCAGGGCGCCACAAGTGCTAGGCGCTGTACTGCTCAGCCCCAGGCCCAGCGACAACTCATCTTCTTAAATTTTGAGACAGGGCCTTGCTAAGTGACTGAGGCTGGCTTTGAACTCAGGATCCTCCTGCCTCAGCCTCCCAAGTCCCTGGGATTACAGATGGGGGCCACCCCGCCTGGCCACGTTCCAGTGGTTAAGGCTGGGCCAGGTGAGGACACCTGTGAGCTGGCTCCTGCCTCCCCCGCCCTCTCCCCCCACCCTCAGTTCCGTCCTGTACTCTCTGCTGTGACTGTCCCTAGATCTGGGCGCCAGTGGCTGGAGTGGGTACCTCAGGACACGGCAGGGATGAGTGGAGGCTTGTGGACACTAGGAGGGGACAAGGCCAGGCAGGAAGCCTGCCCGGCAGGGATGCTGTCATGGTCTGCTCTGACCAGCTGGCGCTGTGCCCCCCACCAGGGCAGCCCTTGGCCGCGCGTGACTGGAGTCAGAATTGGAATCCTGCTTCCTCAGCCACCTACACCAGACTGCCACATGTGGCCGGGGGCTACTGCCCTGAACAGAGGGGACATTCCGCCACAGCAACAGGTTCTGCTGGACAGTGCTGGGTTAAGGAGATAAAGGGCCAAGATAAAGGCCCCATCCCAGCTCCATGGAGGTTCAAGGCCTCCGTGTCTTATCAATGGGACCCTCTGGGCAAACTGGGGTCTGGGACCAGGACAGAGGGGGATGGGATAAAGGAGACTGGCCGGTTTCTCGACCTGTGACCCATGAAAGTGCCATCTCCCTCACCATCGCTCCCAGTGGAGTGAATTTCAGTCACTTAGGGCCTCAGTAATTGGCTGAGACAAATGAATTTCAGAGGGAGCAGTGAGGGGAGCATGGGGTGAAGTGGGTGGGCGACCCCGACAGCACTGCCCCAGGCCTGAGGATGCGCTGCAAACCCAGCAGCTGGACAGGACCCCAGGCGCAAGAAAGGTGTGGAGGAGGGCGGGGGAGGCCACGGTGCAGAGCCCCTGGCTAGGGGAAGTACCGCCTCAGGAAGCAGAGAGGACTGGTCACAGTAGCTAGAGGGAAGGACTGACCGACTCCTCCAGGTGGGGAGCCCCAGACTGCAGCCTCTCCCACTCCCCTTGGCGAACAGGAAAAGCTGAATGCTGAGGCAGCATCTCCGCCGTACCTGGAGCCTGGGCTTCACGTTCAAACAGAAATCCTGGGATTCGGTGATGAAGCTTTCCTGGGGACCTTGGTGCTTGGCTGAGACTGAGGGAGTCCTCTCTGACTGTCCTGAGGACCCTGGTGTCAAGTCAGGACACAGCAGAAGGCTCCAGCGACACCGTGGGCAGTGGTGGGTCCAGGCGAGGCCGCCCAGCCTCAGTGATCCCCGGGAAAGGCCTTGTTTGGGACGTGGTGGCTCCACAAGTGCTCGGCCTCAGCAGTCCTGCTGGCCAGGCCATAGTCCCAGAACCGGATCCATCAGCAGTTCAGCTCGAAGGCCTTCCTTGTTCTGCGCCACAACCCTCCGTGCTGGCTTTGACCGGATTCTGAGCCAGGTCCACAGACGGGAGCGGGGTCCTCCACTTCGGTTCTCTGTATGTGGGTTGCTGGTGCACCAGGCGACCTCTCTGGAGAGGTAGCCATCGTGCTTCAAGGGTGACCAGATACACGATGCGTTGAGAGGTTCTGCCCAGGATTTTCCTTTTTTTTTTTTTTTGTATCTGGGATTGAGCCCAAGGGCACTCAATCTGGAGCCATACCCCCATCCTTTTTAATTTTGAGATAGGGTCTCATTTGCTGAAGCTGGCTTTGACCTTGCAATCTTCCTGCCCCAGCCTCCCTAGCCGCTGGGATTGCAGGTGTGCACCACCATGTCCAGCCCAGCCCCCCTCACCCTGCCCCATGTTTTATGGGTGCATTATAATTGTACTTATGATGGGATGTCACTACACATCCGCACTCTTTCCTGATCCCATGAATCAATCCCACGCCCTTGGGACGGAGATTGCCCAGGATTAGGAAGTGTCACTTGCCAGGTCTCTCCATGTTTGGTTATTAGTTACTTGTAGCTCTGGGGACAGGACCCAGGGCCTTGCACACGCTGGCCAAGTGATATACCACTAAGCTACACCTCAGCTTGTCACCTCTTAAAAAGTAGAAATGACACTGAAAATAGGCTTTTCTTCAAGGTGTTTGCAGGTGCCCGAGGCACAGGTGTCTGAATGATGGAAACCCCCTAGCTCACCCCCAAGGCCATACCTGATCACAACTCAGCCTAAACAAATATTCCCAAGTTCACACCCAGGCTCCCCACCACCGCTCCAGCCACACCTGGCCACCGTGCAGGAAGGTGGGCGGCTTGACCACGGTCTCCACCTCTCTAGAGGTAGCCGTCATAATTCTCCTGTGCCCACAGCTGGCTGCAGAGCAGGCTGGGGTACATGGGGCCGTGGCCTCCTCCTGCACCGTCTCCTGAGCTCGTCCTGGCCCTCCATACTCAGGCCCATCAGGCAGCACCTGGCCCTGGCAGGTGAGCTTGGCAGCAGTGGAAGGCTCGAGTCAAACTGGGTCTCAGCACATGTTCTGGCCCGGGCAAGTACTGAGCTGCCACCAGGCCCCAATTCTGGTCCCTGCCCAGATGCCACTGCTGAACTCAAGGCAGGGTGCAGTGCTCATTAGTGCTGGCTGTCACCATCCACCCCACCCTCAACCGAGAGGGGCTCTGCCCTTCATCACAGGAGGTCGGTGGGGTGTGGCCGGCAGGGCTCCATCAGGAGCAGCATCAGGCAGAGACACGCCCCCTGGTTCCCACCAGCCGCCAGGAGCAGCCTCAGGCTGACACCACCTTGAGAAGCTGAATCCTGTAGAAATCAGAGCCCAGGGACACCCACTCCACACTGGTGGGCAGGGCCAGGCAGGATCAGCCTGCCCGGCAGGGATGCCATCATGGTCTGCACCGACCCCATTCGAGGGCACCAGCTGGCGCTGTGCTCCCCACCAGGGCAGCCCTTGGCCGCGGGTGACTGGAGTCAGAATTGGAATCCTGCTTCCTCAGCCAACTACACCAGACTGCCACATGTGGCCGGGGGCTACTGCCCTGAACAGAGGGGACATTCCGCCACAGCAGCAGGTTCTGCTGGACAGTGCTGGGTTAAGGAGATAAAGGGCCAGACTGGCAGGCCCTGCCACATAATGGCCCCACAAAACCCTGGGGAGGGGCTGGGGATGTGGCTTAAGCCGTAATGCGCTCGCCTGGCATGCGCGGGGCGCTGGGCTCGATCCTCAGCACCACATAAAAATAAAGATGTTGTGTCCACTGAAAACTAAAAAATAAATATTAAAAAATTCTCTTTAAAAAAAAAATCCTAGAGACATAGTCCTAACTCAACGGTATTTGAAATGTGCTTACAGATGCTATCCCCAGGAGCAAGGCCTGGCTCCCTGATCATTTGGACTCCCGCCCTGTCCCCAGGGGACCTACTTGCTAGTTGGACTGTGTTGGCAATCTCACTTCAAACTTTCTCCACTGGAGAAAAGTAGTTTTTATACCAGGGATCTATCTAGTCCAGGGTCTCGCTAAACTGCCAAGGCCAGCCTCAAACTTGCAATCCTCCTGCCTCAGCCTCCAGGCATACTTCAAGCATGAAGATGGGTCCCCGCCTTGGAAATGACTTCACCCACTCTTCAAACAGCACAGTGCCCATGCTTGCTTTCCGCCAGGGCAGCAGAGCTGAGCAGTGGCAATAGATGTCACATGGCCCCCAAGTGGCAGTATTTACTATCTGGTCTTTCATGGTTAATTTGTCAACACTGGCTCTAATGTCAAACCCAAACCACATTATTTAAAAAAAAAAAAAATCCCTGCACACCTCACTTTAGTAACTCATGGAGCCTTAAGAAGCTGTCACCTCTTACACCCAGACACCAAAGAACATGAGCCCGAGAAGCTGCCAACAGGCGATTCTGAGGCCCTGGACAACGAGGCAGGCCCCCACTGTGGCAGCTGGTCGCTGGACTCGCTTTCCCCTTCAGCCACAGACCCACACTGGGGTCTGCCTCTGGAGGTCCCCACCGCACCGAGGACGCTGCCCCACCGAGCTCCAAAGCCTCATCTCCTCCTGCCAGACTCCTCTGGTCCTTTTGTCATGACACATTTATTGAACGGCAGTACGTGTGAGCAGCCCTAGACCTGCGTGTCCCTCTCCTAGATGGCTGTGCTGATCCCCAAGGCAGCTGGCTCAAAACTC